AAAATGTAGAAAAAAATTGAATAACGCCAAATCCGCTATAACTAGAATAGGCAAATGGGGTATCGTTGTTTACAGAATTTCATGCTGAATCTAAAATTAAAAAAAAATATGGGGTATTCCCTTTAAAATAACGAAGTTAGTGGTCACTTCCGGTATAACCGGAAGTTGCACAGAGTTCATTTTATTTTAATTCAAAAGAGCATATTCGATTATGTATACTCAGAAAATGGCGAAAATACAAATTAATTTATTCTCCATAAAGTTGTAATGCCCGCCTTACGTGGGACACGGTGTATATACACTATATTCTATTAATAACGTATCATTTAATGAAATGTCAATGTTAGTATGACTGGAGGCATTAAATATTACCCTACATTTAGTAGTGGTCACGTAGTAGTACTTGATCTCTGTTTTATTGCAGCATAATATGGAATTAGATTAGATTTAAAAGGAGTGGGGCATTATTTGTCCGTGTCCACCTCGACTTTTTGAGATATATTGTGGGATTTTAGAATATGTCGTCTAGCTTGGCCTTTTTTATTGACTTAGTAGCCTTGACAATGATATGAAAGTTTATACGAGGGCTGGTTAAGAAATTTATTAACATCAGCGCCAATGTTTGGTATATAATCTTAGATAAAAGAAACAACAGATGAAGCATTTCATTGTTAACGTATCATTTGTTAGATCCCAATTATTAGAAAAGAGAAAAAAAATATTTTATGCGGATTGAAAGAAGACGTAATCCTAGATCTCGTCTGGCAACGCTAGCTGTTACACGCAACTAAAAGTCTGTCTATACCAGTGGCGTATCTTATTAAAGAAAAAATCATAACCCTCAATTTTTGTGTGAGAAAGATTATGTGTAAGTTAAATATAAAAAAATAAATCATGAAATACTTTAAAACCTATTGGATTTGGAATAAGGGTATGCAGTTGAGTGAAATGTAGGTAAAAAACTTAAAAACACTTTTTTTTTCAAATGTAATACAATTTTTATTACATATAAAAATAAACAAAATAAAATACAATAATATAAAAACAAGATAAAGATTTATTTTAAACAAATTTACGAATCCAATTTTGGAGTTAATTTGAACAGTTTTACAAATTGGTAATAATGAGAGATTTTTAAATCAGAATTCAGATTTTTAAGACTAATAAATTTATAAAGGTTAATAAATCAATAAATTTACCATATTTAAGGTGGGAATGTTAAATGGAACGCTACTTACAGCGGAATCTGGCGATTAAAATTTTGTAAAATCCGAAAGCAATAAACCTGCGTTAGTGCTAGGCGTTGAAAAAAAATCGTTTTTATTTAAAAAAGAAATATTCGTTTCTAAACAATACTACTTTTGTATTTGTACTTCCCATTCTATTTTTCTTGAAATATCCAACTTTTTGTGGTAGATATAGCGGACCGGGCCCAGCACAGGTACTCCGTGTCATATAGAATTCTACCGGTCGCTTCAATTCTATCGATTGGCACTCTCAGAGTAAGATTATCTAAGTTGGCACTCTGTGTCTCCAAATAATCGCCAGGAGTAGACTGTAACTATCGCCACGAAGCGAGACGTCAAGACAAATAGTTTTCTACTAAAGTAGGCAAACCGTCATACATTTTTGTTTTAATTTTAAAACATTATGGCATTGGATCATAATTGGATCTAATTTCAAATGAAAAAAAGTAAAACAAGTGAATTTTTTTATTGTGGTGTGTGGTGTAAACATAATAGGTTTATTCTGCCATATTTTTTTACCAGCAAAATCTGCTAGGTCCAAGGTGAATCTTCCTGTTGATGAATCTTCCTGTTGAAGAGGCACATACATCCACAGCATCAGTATAAAAAAGTTAATAATTTGAAATCCTTAATCCAGGATATTCCTCAATAAAACAAATAATTGTACAGGGTGAGCGAAACTCGATGTCTCAGCTCCATTATGGGACAAGGGAAAAAGATAGGAAAAAGTCGAAAAGAGGTTCTTAAATGGGATAGAGTAAGGTCCGTTTTAAGCCCAATTTGCATATTTGTCCATATTTGGAAACTGAGGTAATGACGTCATCGATTGTTTTTTTTTTTCGGAAACATACCTATATTTTTATAAATTTAAAAAGAGCTAATTTTTCTGAACAAATTTTATAAAGAAAAAAATTTGATATCTCCTTCACTTTAAAAATTATAAGCAAATTTGTAAAAAAGAAACAAATAATATATTACTTACAAGAGAGAGAAACAAAGCTTGTATGCATAGTCAATCACTAAAACAAATTTTCAATGTGACCACCTCCTACTTCTAAACACTTATCCAATCTCCGTCTTACTTCTCTTACCGAAGCCTTACGTAACATTTCTCTAGATAATTCATCGCAAGCAATTCTGATTTTGTCTTTTAAATGTTCCATGTTAACTGATGGTGTTCTGCAAACTTTATTTTTCAAATTTCCCCACAAAAAGAAATCTAGTGGGGTCAAGTCCGGTGATTTAGGCGCCCACTGTATCGGTCCATTTATACCTATCCAATGTTCTCCATAAGTTTCATTCAAATATCGTTGGACAATTCTTGCTTTATGCGGTGGAGCTCCATCATGCTGGAAATACATATTTGCTCGAAGCTGTAATGGCAAATTTTCGAGAAGCACAGGCAATTGTTCTTGAAGAAATTGCAAGTATCGCTCACTACATAAAATTCCTTCGTAAAAATAAGGACCAATCAAATGCCCATTAATAATACCACACCAAACGTTAATTCCGAAATGCCCTTGGTTTTCAATCGGATTGACAAAATGTGGATTCTCAGTAGCCCAATAATGTTCATTTTTTTATTGGGCTTACCATTACTAACAAAACGGCTTTCGTCCGTCCATAAAACATGCTGAAAAAATCGATTTTCATACTCTAACGTTTCCATCACTTGGGCAATATAATTCAATCTTCGTTGTTGATGTTGATCTGATAAGTATTCTAAGTTGTGAAGTTTATAATCGTGGTAACCATTTTCCTTCAAAATTTTTCGTACCGAACTATATTTTAAATTCAACTCACGACAGGCTTGCCGAATCGAATTTCTTGGATGGGTTTCAAAATACTGCAAAACAGTGGCAACAGTATTATCAGAATTGACTCTTTTAGCAATTTTTTTTCCCATTCGAGAAGAAAATGCCTTGTTATTTGAACGTAAATTGCGTTCCAATCTTGCAAATATTTTTAAGCTTGGAATAACACGTTCGGGGTATCTCTGGGCGTATAACTGAACTGCTCTTCTAGGGTTCTTTTGAGATTCCCCATAAACTAATAACATGTCGACTTTTTCATTGTGCGTGAACATTTTTCAAAGCCAAATAACTACATAACAATATTTGTCAACCATTAATTTAATTTGACAGATACGTCTTTGCTATTTGTTTCCAAAGGCGACTTCTGAATTTTTGATTATACTTTTTTTTTACAAATTTGCTTATAATTTTTAAAGTGAAGGAGATATCAAATTTTTTTCTTGATAAAATTTGTTCAGAAAAATTAGCTCTTTTTAAATTTGTAAAAATATAGGTATGTTTCCGAAAAAAAAAATCGATGACGTCATTACCTCAGTTTCCAAATATGGACAAATATGCAAATTGGGCTTAAAACGGACCTTACTCTATCCCATTTAGGAACCTCTTTTCAACTTTTTCCTATCTTTTTCCCTTGTCCCATAATGGAGCTGAGACATCGAGTTTCGCTCACCCTGTACAGTATGATACTTGACTGGCCGACAGAGGTCTCCAAACTTACTTAATAATGTCATTGTAAAACTATGTTTAATAAATAATGTATCAGATTTTTATTTTTAATCTTTTATTGTAAATAAGTTTGGAAAAGATCACAAATAAATTAAATGTAATAGATGAGCCCTTTTCCAAAAAAACCAATTTACTTATTTTTCTCTTCATTTGGTCGCAGGATTTCAACATGGGTACAATCTACTGCTCCAATTATCCCGGGAAAATTTCTTGCTTCTATAAAACATAACTAAATTTGTTGTTTTTCCTGTCGAGTTCTAGGAAACCAAATCCATTCCCCTGAGAAGGTGTTTATAATTGCCGTATTTCCTCTTTAGCTCTCAACGTAATTCCATTTAATATATACTAGGACATATCTTTATTTAATCGAAATAACTCTACAAATCTTACATTTTCTATAGAGAATGGATCGCTTGTCTCTCTCATTACTCGCCTATCTATATTTTCCAAACGAAGATGTTATAGTCGTTCCTCCTCTTCAACAGCTAATATATTGGCCACAAACAAAGGGAGCATTATTACAAATCAAAGCAAAAACTAGATAATACAAACTTAAAATCAAAACCAAAGCGGCACCTTATCTGTCAGAAATTAACATACTTACACCGTACGAATCTGACCTATCTTAGATTGTTGGCCCGTGCCCGGTCTGTTATATCTATACGCACCTTTAGAGGTTAGACGACTTTAACACAATTAGGCATTCCAAACAAGTCAACTGCCAGTGGGAAGGTTTGGCATATCTAAGGGTTGCGACATACGATGTATTTTATCTACTATACGTAAAATTATGAATAACGGATTACATTTAAATATTTTATGTCAAACACAATAAAAATAATATTTAAAAAATCCCGCTTATACATTTCTTCATAAACTGGCAGGCTTGGCGACTACTATTTCGAATAAAAATAGAGTCCAAGATACAAAACTATGTCGCTACCCCCCTTATATATACAAGAATTTCCCACTGGCACCTATTGTTTGACAGGTCGTTGGAATGCCTAATAGGTATTTTCCACCGAAAGTGTAGCACTGAGCTATGTCACTTCTGAAAATATCGTTCCATCCATACAATTTGTATAAATAGAACGATATTTTCAGAAGTGGTGTAGCTCAGTGCTACATTTTCAATGCAAAGGAAAAGTTTTCAATCAATGTGGTTAATCATTATCACCTTAATTATTAATTTAAGATTTTTTTTTTGTTTTAGGGCAGGTTCCAGCGCGCCTCGTACTGTACCTTCTATCATGGTCTGGTTTTTTGGTTTCTTTCATGATGCGAAATGACATAAATATCGCCATTGTGGCAATGGTGAAACAACCTCCTAGACAAATTACAAATTCAACAAACGAATATTGTTTTATCATAGAAGATTTTAATTCCAGCATAGCTCAAATGGTACTTGTATAAAAACTGAAATAAGCTTTGGATATCAATCGTAACTCATAATCATTATATAAATTACAATATTATTTTATTTATGTTATCATAGAGAAGAGTGATACACAAAAAATGTTTCTGAACAAAGACAAAAGATCGATTTATGTCCGTGATAGATCCAAACTGAAACTTAAAAAGAAGTATTTATTATCTACGACATGCGTGATTTTTTTTAAGACCTACTTTAGAACTATTTATTGTGAATCACTCCTTATATTATGCAATGATCTATATTATATTCTATAGATCTATTCTATGCGATATTGAGCGATATGCTCACTTTGGCAATTTTTACAACTGTAAGACCGAGCGTAGGTAAGTTGAGAAGCAGTTCAGTGAAGTGAGGTGAGTTGACCCACCGTGAGTTTCTGTACAACACCGAATATTCGTAAGCAGGGTGAAGTGACTCAGATTGTATTCATTTCTGCGTTCCATAGTCACTCATGGCGGATCATCTCACTTCACCTCACCAAATTTCGTCTCAACTTGCGGACCTGTTAAGTGAAAATAACGTAATGTATAATATTTCATTACATTTTTGACCTATCACATCAACACTGATGACACTATGGAAGCTCCGGAATATGGTAAAGTGAATCAATCATTGATTACTATCCAGCAAAATAAAAAAAATGCAAAATCAAGAACCATTTTTATTCCAAATAATTTCTATTTAACACGTCAAACGCCAAAGGAATTTCCACAGTTTGCAATCCTAAACATATTTTCTGTTAACATGGACAATAATTTTATTTATGAAATTTACTACAGATGCCTGATCTCTTTGGGCCTTATAAACACACTTTTACCTATACAGAGTATACAGCTATATTTACTCGTAAGAATTTGATTGGCATAGCAATATAAAAACAAAATAAAAGTAACTAGCAATAACTTTTTTGTATCCATCCCTATATTAATAATATTAGGAAAAACAATTCTAAAAAAACTTCATATGATTCTCTCATTCATAACTTCATAACTTCAATCAATAAAACACAAATACATAATAGGCTAATGGATTATATTCGCAGTCACCAAATCCAATCCCACACACACATAACTTAAGTATACGTTTAAATAATTCAAAATGTGATATATTCTAGTGAACTACTATTAGTACTTTACAAAAGAAGTTAGCTTTCTTTTATAATTCTTGCACTTTATAATTTTTCTTGTAGTTCTTGGGTTGTTAGGTTAAGTTAAGTTAGGTTAGGTTAAATAAAAAACGTATGTGTGGTCATAGCGTTCGGCGATCAGTGCCTTCTTCAGTCGTTTTTATTCAACAAAATGGATAACCACAAAACAAAAAATAAAACAACATACGATACACAGACTAACGGTATGTTCCTGCGCATGCAGCTAACTGACGGTGGCGTCACGTGAGACATAGAATTATAAGCATTAAATGTTTAAAATTCGATATTTTGCCAATTTTAGATTTTATGCAGTTACTTAAGCTTTATTGGTTATTTTGAAATATATTCGTTTACAAATATGAAGGTTTAAGGTAAATAATAGTAATAAAAATATTAATTTTTCTCATAAATTATAGGTATTTTGTAACAAAATCCATAACCTGGCCATAAGATAAGTAAAAGGTATAGACTAAAAATACAAGTTTGACTTAAATTTGTACTTTCTGGGCGTAGTTGTTCTCTTGCAATCTCTTTTCTTATGTGAAACAAAAATAAGTTCAGAAACAAATTATTTATAAAAAGTAAATTACTTTTTATTTGGTAAATTTAAACATTTTTGTCAAGTTTACTTCGAAAATACTCAAAACCAATTTTTCTGATCATTTATCTTATTCTTATATATGTTCGTGACCTGCTCATGCATGGCATTACTTCAAAAGAACCGTTGTATTGGGACAGGAAAATACTGTTTTATCTGCTAAAATTTTTAAATACCGATTTATTTTCTTTGCTTAATGAGTCCCGTGCACCTGGTGAAATTCAGTTTCCTTTTGTTGCGTCTATGTTTAAGAGGAATCTCACAACTACTTTCCTCAAAGTGGATAGGAAAACTTCAATTAAGTTTGTCTTTTCTTCGATAATAATTTACCCATATTTTGTGGCATTCGGAAATATCTCCACCGCGCAGCCCGGCATTTTAAACATTAGTTCTTCCCTGTTATATATAAGATTATATAGTCACGACTAACTCAAAAACAAATAAATTATTAAATTATTTTACACTATTTAATCGAAAAAGTGTCAAAATAACTTGAAAGTTCGTCCCGTATTACGTCATTGCGCGATTTGGACGAATTTTGAATCGAAAGTCAGCATACCGTTAGTATGTGTATCGTGGTGGTATCGTGGAACAACGGACATGACTAGGATTATGGAGTAAAATAATAAAAAAAAAATGGTTTAATGACACGCCAATTTTGTAACAGAATTCATATAATTTAACGTTAACTTTTATTAAAACAAAAACATTGTGTTAAAAGAAAAAAACATATTTGCTGAATAAAAACTACTGAAGAAGACACTGATTAGTGCCGAAAGCTATAACCACACATACGTTTTTTATTTTGATTTAGAAGCACCTAACAACCCAAGAACTACAAGAAAAACTAATGAAACTACCAGGGAGGTAACGACACGAAAGTGTCGATTTATTAAACTTTAATTTTTTTCCGGTTACTTAAGTAATGCTAAAATTAAATGGAATTGGTATCTAGAATAACTGATAAACTACGTGATGTTACATAACTGAATGTCTACTAGTTGGAAATCACATATTGGGTCGTATGATTGAACGTTTACGTTATCCGTAACGTACATGTTAGGCCGAGTTTTAACAGTAACAAGGCAAGTTCGTACGATGGAAAACTTTTTTCAACACATTACTGTTCTTTTCCGCCTGTTATGTTCTAATTTAACAGGTTTCCATCATACGAACTTGCCTCGTTACTTTTAAAATTCGGCCTAACATGTACGTTACGGATAACGTAAACGTTCAATCATAGGACCCATTATGGCAACTTACGTTCAAGTCTCAACCATATGTTTAACAAAAGTATTCGTAGGTTTGCAACTTTAACATTCGTTCCGTAATTAAATATCTCCACCACCTCATCGTACCAATTTCAAAGGTCTTTTTATTATATTTACAAGCTATACAGGATGTTTTTTAAACATGCAGCAAAAAATCAAGGGGTTGTTCTTTGGACTATTCTAAGAATATTTTGTCCTTTGATGATTTTTGAAAATCCGTTTTTAGTAATTAGAACGTTAAAAAATAATAAAAATAACGAATTTTAAAAAAATTGTATGTTCTTGGTTAACACAGTGTAGTACCTATTTTTATTTAGACTTAACAATTTTAAAAATAATAAAAATAGTTTTCTCGAAATTGTTGCGCCCTGTATCTCCTAAACAGACTTTTAAAACTCATCAAATAAAATATTCTTAGTAGTACAAGGATCAACTCATTGAATTTTTGCCGCATGTTTAAAAAACACCCTGTATAATGGTATTCCCCAGACTATTAAATAATTTGGAATCGGCATTTTCTCTAATGAGTATAAACGGTTTTTATATATTTACATTACATTTTTTCTCTCTAAAACAGTTTTTAATACAGGGTGCGGCAGTGAAACGGAAAGATTTCGAAAATAATTTTATTGTTTAAGAATATTTTTTTAAATAATGTTTAATACATTAATGGAAAATAAGAAAGTTGCCATTTGGTTTACAATATCAAAAAAATTATTTTTTGGACACTACATCCATCAAATGTCCTCCGTTACAATTTATGAATTCTTGGAGTCGTGCCTGAAAGTTTTGCATAACTCTGCGCAGCATATCAACATGTATTGTTGCAATCTCGTCACGAATCCGTTGTTTAAGAGCTGAGATTGTCCTGGGTGGATCATTTGCAAACACATTTGTCTTTAGGTATTCCCAAAGAAAGAAGTCGCAGGAGGTTAGGTCGGGAGACCGAGGGGGGCCAACTGATATCCCCGTTTCGAGAAACGATACGCCCTGGAAACAAAGCATTTACAGCATTCATTGAAATTCTTGCAGTGTTACTTGTTGCCCCGTCTTGTAGAAAAATTGTGTGTTCATCCACTGGAAAGCCTTCAAGTTAAGGTGTAAGAAAATTCTGAATCATTGCAACGTATCGTACAGAATTAACGGTAACGGCATTTTCAGCCTCATTCTCAAAAAAATGTGGGCGTTCGATATTTTCAGGGGTTCAAACTGTTTTGTCACTACCCCCCCTTTTTTTTGACGTCAATCCTGTTTGTTCTAAGTTGTTTACCCCATTTTTTATCGCTTTATTGATGGAACAGTTTGGTTGCGCGGTATGTTTTGAACTAAACTCTCACCATTTTGAAAATAGGCTTTAACTGTGTAACCGCGATGCTTACCGGTCCAATGCTCTATGGCAGAGATAAGGGAGATAAAGATAGGAAACGCCCATAGGAAGCCAATGCTTAACAACGATCAGCTTTATCGCAGTTAACATCTGACCCACTATGTGGCGCTTTAATCGATATCAAACAACGCAGCGGGAAATTTAAAAACCTGATAATGAAGGTTGTATAAATATCGACTGCACTCTCATGTTCTTGTAAATAAACTTAAACAATGTAATTGCCCTAAATTATTTATTAAAAAGAATACTACACTTACAGTCTATTATCGATTAATTATAGTATTCATGACAAATATTTTTTAATTTTTGATTTTATTTTCCAAACGAATGGCCTTATTTAAAAATGTTGAGTGCAAATTCAATAATGGGAATTCAGATATTTTTCTTCCTATATCAAATCTTCTTTCTAACGTTTTGAAGCCATTTTCTTGTTCTAAAATAATAAATAATACATAAATACCTACTTTGTGATAAAAGTTGATTACTATTTGTGTTATTTACATGAATAGATCTTACCTACTTTGGTTAATTAAAGAACGCCACATTGGGGTTGTTAAATTTGT